GAGTAAAAAGATTTGCATCTACAGAATAAATTGTGAAGTTGCTCCAGAGGTTAAGCCCCACTTTGCTCAGAAGTTATTTTACATCAGGATGACCCATGTCATCAGGAAAGGCTGTGTAAGCATGGCTGGGCTCCAACATGTTTTGGTGATGTTCTGGACGCCTCACCATACTGGTGCGTGCCCTGTTGAGACCACCCATGACCTGTTTTCCCATCAGTCCTGCTCTTGGGTCACACACACCAGATGTCACCATTCAAGCACTGGAGAGCTGCTGGGTTCTGCCTCTTGTATCTGCAAACGCACAGAGTTAAGGAGCCTGGCAAGAATATGGGGCACCATTTTCCAGCAAGCCCTGTACTATATCCACCCGTTATACTTACCAATGACCCAATACTAAGCTCTTAGATTTTCTTGTTCTCTAGGCAGAGGCGAAGATGAATCCCTGATACCCAGAAAACACAAGTCCAGCACTGTCCCGTTCACAAAACCACAACGAGCTGGATGGCATTAACCAGCTCTTTCTCAGAGCTCATCCACCACAGAACAAGAGACTACAGAGAGAAAACCCATGACTCGTAGTAGGGAACAACCGAGGCAGCCAGCAGCGCCTTGCCTCAAAGGTGCTACCAGACACAAGGGCTGCAAGAATCTGACCCTCAGCCCCACAACTAGTTGGCTCCTGTCCTGAGAGCCCTCTGGGTACAGCCACGCTACAGAGCAATCTAAGCATCACTGTGTGGGCTCTTAATTTAAGTGGTTTGTATTGCCTGGGGAGAGGTACAGCCAGTTTTTCCTTTTATTGCTCCTGCAGGACACTGCCACATTGAGCAGGAACTTCCAATTCTGAGTTCTCAGTTTGCTGGGCAAGCTCCAAACAGTAGCATCCATCAATGAAAGCGCTGCCTTTCTTTCCTCTGGCTCCCTGAAGAGCTTCACACTCCCACCAGCCAATAGTTTGAGTGTTCAGCAGCTGATTTTGCACAGTTGTCCCTCCTGCCCCAAAACTCCTACTCATCCACCATGACATGCCCAGCCCAGAGCAAATTCAAAAAAAGAAAAAAACCAAAAAACAACCAAAAAAAAGCCCCACCACACAATGTCCTTACAAAGAGCTGCTCAGCTCTTGTATAGTTCTAGCACAAGGAGTATTTTGATCATGCAGGGAATTAATTCAGAAAATTGGTTTGCTGTCAAGTTTATCTTTGTAAATCTGAGCAAACTGTTTTGTTTTTCACTGACAATCTCATTTGGATATTATTTTTTTCAGTGAAATCTTAGCAAAGCTTTCTTTCTGTCACCATACATCTAAGGCGGGTTTTCTTTGCAGTAAAACCTTCGTCAGTCTATTCGCAAAACCGCTATTAACAATATTGCAAAAACATATGAAGTATAAAACAGGCAACACTGTGCAAAGCACCAATTACAGAAAAACAAACTTTCCTATACCCTTGAATGCCTGAAGCTTGTTGCAAAACTGCATGGGTGGCACAGCGAAGTTCAAGCATGTTCACACAAGAAATTTTAGATACAGAACGTGCTGTTAGAGGTTGTTCCTTTTTAAGGCCTGACTTGCCTTACCCGTGGTTAGGCAGCTGAGCTCGTACAGCTCTGTGGAGCAGCCAGAGTTACCTTTGCTGATCATCAGCAGTGCCGCACAGCCCGCTCAATTCTTACGGCTTTCACAAGCGGATCTCTTCTTTGCCGTTGCACCAGGCTCCTTCCTCCCCTCCGTTTTCTCCTGTTTATGCTGATGGTGCTGCTAATGAGACGCTCGCTTCCTGACCTCTGGCCTCTGGGCAGCCTCACACAGCCCCTGTGATGTTAAATGAAATAAGGCACAGCAGCAATCCAGCAATCAAACCGCTGAAATCAATCTCTGCAATCTAGGTGGGCTTCATTAATATTTTTTTATTCTGGGCAGCACAGGAGGGAACGTAAAAGAGGGGAGGTTTCACGCCTGGTATTTGCCAAGATCAGAGTGGTGCACTGGAGATGGTATATTGAAATTTGGTGGGAAAAAAACCTGTATTTTTGCAGCCGTGGTAACAAAGCAATAGCTGCTTAGGTCTCTTGATTTACAGGATCAGTAACTGGTATCAGGATTTTTAAATATGGTAACATTGACATCTGGCTCAACATCTGGCAAACCTAGAAGTTAAGAGGCAAGAAAAAAGAACTGAAATGAAGCTGTTCTGAGGAGCTGGTGGAGTTGGTTGTAAAGCCCAAAGATAGTTTGGGGGCAGAAGTGACTGTAGCAGCAAGAGAAGAAATAAAATTAAAAGAGCGAGAGACCAAGAAAAGAGATCATTGTGAGAGCTTGAAGGGAAGTGGCTGGGCTTTTTGAGGAGCTCATCAAGGAAGGACTCACAACAAGGGAGGAGGAGCAGGCTCAGTCAGTCCAAAAGGATGACGGAAATAGGGTTGTAACAGCAGCTCATGGAGATGAAAGCGGACACTGGTACTGGAGGCCAGGAACCTCCACAGCTTCTATTCATTACCTTCTTCATCCTCCAACTGTGCCTCACTGCTTGCACTGTAAGAACTAGTCATGGCCGTGTTCCAGTACAAGGGTACCATATCTTTTCCTACTGCCTAAGTCTTGCTATTAAAAATTCTGGGGTTTGTAAGAGTCCAGAAGCGATCAACAACCCATGAACACAGATAGCTTCAGATCTCCAGGCTGAATCTATCAATCAGAAGTATCACAGCTTTTTCTGAAGTGCTTGAAAATGGTGGTCATCGTTTAGGCAGGAGCACTCTGCGGCCTGAAAAAGGTGGATAATTGGATCTATAAAATAATTTGACTCTCACTGGGGAACACAGATGTTCTTGGCTGGCTTTCACTAGGGGCCTACCAGGCAGTGTGGGGAAGAATCCCACAGTCTATAGGTCTCTGCTCAGCAGAGGAGTAGCTATACCAAGGGCATACTTAGAGAAAATCTCTGTCTTGTGCAGAAGCAATGACACCGTGAAGTGAAAGATTTGTCTAAAAGCATCTACTTCACGGCAGGTACCCCAGTAAACACATGGAAGATTTGGTCCTTGTTGTAAATCGCCTATGTAGCTAGGTAAAACTTCTGCCTTTTGTTAGAAAACGCTCCAGTGTGAACTGTTCTTGACAGAACTGTTTGCTGAGTCCTTCAATCCAAGTTTTCTTGGAAAGGGGAGGACCTTTTCGGGAGCGGTCTCTTCAGACTAATTTCTCCTTGTTGTGCGGTGCTTGTTTCTATAGAAGCAGCCGCACGCTGGATGGCTGGGGTCTGTCCTTAACGTCCCTCTGATGCATCCTCTTGAAAAGCATCACAGTGTGGCGGATTAAAAACGTTGTATAACTCAGTTCCTCCAGACACATATGGTGGGGCTGAGTGGCAACTTTTTCTCTTTCATTCTCATGCACTGCTAGAAATAAAGTAGTTTTAATTGCTTCACAGTCTGAAGGTGAAGTCTCCCATTAGTAACAGCTACTGTATCTTAAAGATGGTAATAGCAAGCACTTGAATAGCACTTTCTGTCTTCAAAGTACTTTGCAGACATTCTTTACTTCTGAATTAAGGATGAGTTTCTGTCCCTTGCAACACTTTTCCAATGAGATAAAAGTTCAACCTGCTGTAGGAAAGAAACAAAGCTAATGACTCCAAATTCTCCACTGGAACAGGGCCCTGTTTTGCTGTTTTGTTTTCATGGTATAAAGTGGCCCCAGAGGACGTATGGCTGGTACCACCTCTGAGCTGGAAATCTTCAGGCTGTATGAAGTCAGATGCCTGTAGCACTTCTGCCATCATTCGGCTAGTGTAGGGGGTGGGCTCCTACTCACCCCATGTGCTTCAGCCCTGTGCACCATGCACGATGTGAAGGGCCAGGGGTCTCAAACTGGCGCACAGGTGAGCTTCTGGCTCTGGAAAAGGCTGGGGGACCCATGTGCATCTCCAAGCAGTGGCTCAGCCCCCATGTGGTGAAAAGCTGTCGTCAGACATCCCTCACCCAGCCTTGCAGAGACAGCCCCGTTTCAAGTGAGCTTACTGTGCCGCGGGCGGGGGATGCATCCATGGCAAAAGGTGAAGCCCTGTAGCCGGCATTCATATCACGCTTCCTATCAGTACCCAGTACCTGATAGGGGAACCGATGAGCTGACTGGCAGAGACTAGGGGCCCCCAAGTTGGGAATGTCTCTGAATGGCCACATCTGAAGGAAGAGGAGGCTCTGTCCTGTCACTGGCATCGTTGACAAAACTCCCATTGACTCAGAGGGGAGTATGAGGAGGCCCAACAGTGTTGACTTCTGATGTCATCTCCCTGCTCTACTTTGTTTTCCAAAGACCCCTTTGTGCTTCTCTCCCTTGCTTTGTATTCTGAATATTCAGACCATTTCTGTGCTCAGGGTCCCCATTTGTAATTAGATTGCGTTTGTGGTGACCCTATTACATACAGGTTGACTAGCAAGTCACGCTGGGCCTTCAATAGAAGACTTAGTAAAAGCCATGAGAGGAGGAGGAGGGAAGCGAGGGCACGGAGGAGGAGGGCTGCTATTGTTCTGCCCTCGGCGCTGCCAAACCATCCCTTGTTTTTTCTGTGGACTGTCTGTGTGTTCCAACGCTGTTTGAACAAACGCGGCGCAGTCAGGAGGCTGGCGAGAGGGCAGCGAGAGGGTTAGACGGGTCTTAGCTAGAAATACTTGCACGAGTCAGGAAGCAGGCATGGGAGGAAGGAAATTAAGTGGAGACATCTGTGTAGCTTAGCTTTCAGCATCTCTGCCTGGGGTAGGGGAGGGAGAGTCATGCCTAAGATGACATAACGTATTTTGTCTTTCGCGAGTTGAAAACAGAGGAAACTGTGAAAGCGAAGCATGGTCTGTGTCACGCATGGTCTGGGCGTACCAAGTACATAATGGAGCAGTGTCAGTGCTTTCTGCTCTGCCTTTCACACCCTAAAATAACTCTTCAAGGCAGAGAACCAAGGAGAATGTGATATGGTCCAAAAACTGATCTTGGACTTTTTTCGCAGACGACTGAGCCAGAGGCCGACTGCTGAAGAATTGGAGCAGAGGAACATACTGAAACGTAAGTCCTGATACTGCTGATGTTTAACCTGAAGCCAGCTAGTTTGGGTTAGTTTAGATGTAAGTTGGGTGGTTTTTATAAAGCATCAACTATTCTTCTGTACATGCATCATTAATCATAATACATGCATCATAAATGCAAATAAGTGTGCAAATATGTAGCAGCATCTAGAGCTGCAGAACCAATTCTTTAAAATCAGAGTCAGTCAATTCACGAGAATGAACACTCTCTGGGGAAAAAACCCAGGCGCTGAATCTCTTTTGCAAGTCCCATTCCAAACAGAGGGTCAGTCATTCTGAAAAGCCTTTATGCAGCTCTTACACGGACGAGCATCCTGTTATAAGTTAGTAAAGACATTAGAACATGCTTTGATTAGTTTTCCTAAAAATCTTCACAGCAATCTAGGCTAGGTGGAGCCTTTATTCAGTTAAAAAAAGAAACCAGTGTGAGTCGGGATTATTTCCCTGAAATGTTCTCCTGAAGCACTTCCTTTAAATCAGCCAAAAAACTTGCTGGTAGATCCTCAAAACTTTAATGTTTTAAAGGGACAAAATAACATTTAGAGAGCCTGGTCTGAGTTAAGTTAGTAGATATGTTGCCACCAGCTTCAAAGGAAGTGGGACTGAGTCTAGCGTGAATCTTGTAATCTCATGAATGAATGGGGAGAAAAAAATTATGGTTTCTTTACTCACATTAAAGTGGTTTGGATATAAAAAAATTTAAAAAAACCCACTTTATCTAGTTGTTGTCACTTTGGAAACAGAAAACAAAAGTAACAAGTTCTTCCCTTTTTAAGTCAGTAAATCCATCATTCTAGGGAAATTTTTAAAAATTACTGCAGAAAAAAGTATTCCTAAATGGTACCATAAAATACCATAGTCTCCTTATGCAGGTCCGTAATTTACCTTCTTTTGTTGTTCAAATAACTGCATTGTACAGAAGCATAAAAGTGTGGCAGCAGAACATTAATTCTCTGAAAGTTAGCAGAATTGATTGATTAAATGCATCAAAATCAAATTCCTAGCAAGTTAATGGTAGTGTCAACACAAAGAGGGGGGGAAGAAAGGACAGCAGAGCAATGTGGGCGAGCGCGAGGCTGCCAGGAAAGCCATTTGTTTGGGGCCAGCCCCCTTTTGATAGCTGCGCCCCTACCGTCTCCTCCTGGCAGCTGGGGAAGGTCAGGGACAGCAACTGGGAAAACGGGTGGCACATCCAGATGTGCTTGTCTCATGGTGGGGGGGTAGCCGAACGGCTGGAGGAAGGGGAACCTGGAACGTGACTGATGCCAGGCTCAGGCGAGGAGGGACAGAGGCCAATTCTCTGGGCAGCTCATGCTGTCATCCCGGGACTTGCCGCCAGCATGGCCCAACGTGTGTCAGGCACCACCTGGCACGGGTGCGTGACCAGTAAACACCGCCCTGGCACTGGTGGGAGTGGCTGGGGGGAGGTGGGGGTCTTGGGCAGCTGCCTTGGCAGCACCATTTGGACCAGCATCAGCAGAGAGGCAACATCTCCGACACCGGGTGCCTTGCAGAGATTCCTACAGGTCACGTTGCCAAGCGTAGCAGTCATGTCGTGACCTGAAGATGCCTTACGTTTCAGAGGAATTATCCCCTGAGTCACACTGGTTTCTTTTTGAATTGAATAAAGCCTCCTAAATGACATGGACATGTTTGAAAATACTACCCTGAACCCAAAACTACACTGTATTTCCTAAATGGAATTTTTGTAGCTTGGTTCCTAAGCACAGATTTGCCCCAAAACATGTGTGTCTCAGTAGACAAACAACTTTGTAATTACAGGAAAAAGTAATGTGGTATTTCCAAGGCATCTCAACTTCTGGTGAAGCACAGCAGGAAAGGAACAAACAATTAAAATAGTTACATAATTAAAAAAAAGAAAGCATAAAAACGCGCCACTCTTAAGCAAGTAAATATAAATAGTGTCTAGTTTGTACAGCATCACTTTGTGCCCTTTCCCTAGGCTTCTGAGAAAAAGAATTAGAACAAATATAATGGAGCCTGGAGAAAAAGAGACATAGGAAGCAATAATTAAAAGAGTGTAAATTCTCTGCATAAGCAGGTCAAGCTATTTGCAAAAGCCCAGTTCATAGCACACACACATACAAAAAAAAAAAAAAAAGCAGACCCAGCAAGCTCCCAAATAAATAGGATTTCCTCTGCAGTTAAAGCTGAGATCTACTTGATGCAAATATCGTGTCTGGCACCATAGTGTTCCTGTTACACATGTAACCACATTATCACCCATTCTGATGGGAAGAAATGAGGCAAAATGCAGTTGGACATCCAGTCTTTATGCATGAAGTGATCACTTTGTTGCTCCATGCTGCTGCAATAATTACGAGATGGTCAGCTGCAAGGGGCAGAGCATCCACCGCACAAGTTCCAGTACTTGCCGGTAGCAACAGCAGGATTACAGCAGCCACAGCTAAGAAACCGAGAACAGGGCCGCTGGTGCTTGAAGGGTGCTTCACTGAAGTATACCCAATTCACTGACTCTTATTTAAGTCAAAGGCGTGTAGTCAGAGGAGTCCAGACCTGCAGGGTTAGTGTCAAGACCAAATAGTACATTTTGCAGTTAATACTTGCTGGCCAAGTTTATGGGGAAGGATGCCTGAATCCCCCTCATGCACCACCCCCCTGCCACTTCTCAGATGGATACAACTTCAGCTGGCAGCCTGGCACATTCGGGCTTGCATAAATTCGTCACGAAAATGATGGTTAGGTAGGGTCTGAGGGTCTCAAACTGTACCAGGGCACATTCCACACTGGCCCGAAAATCGCACGCACGCCCACCCACCCTCACACACAGGTCTAGAGGAACAGAGCATCTCCTGAACACATAAAATAAAGCAACAGTTTTTTAGCTTCACAAGATTGGCATGACTTAATTAACTTTAAAGAAATAGCTAAACCAAAGTCACTTTCTGGTTTCAGAGGCGAATGTATTCCTAATTCCCAGCTTTTACCTGACAGAGGTCTTCAGCCTGCCTGGCTGTCTCTGAAGGTGGGTGGCTGGGCTGAGAAGTGAGGAGAAAAGAAAGACATCGTATGCCAAGTACAAAAATATAACTAAGCTTTGTACATAACTCCTCGGCTGCTTGCAGTTCTACCCTGACTCTGTGGGGGCTCTGTTTACCGCTGCCTTAATCTTACAAGGATTTATTAGTGGCTTTGCTTCTGGGAGTAGGCATTTGCAGGATCAGCTCCTCCAAATTTGAGACACAAAGGGGAGAATGAAATTGCTAAAGGAGCAATTGCTGGAAGAGAATCCAGCCCAGTAGGGATGGGAACCATTGAAAGAGGAAAAATATATTTATCAGCATAGGTATTCCAGTTAGCATTTAAAAAGCCATTTGTGACTCCCTGCTGTCTTCTGTTCTTTTTACTGCAGTATCTTTTTCCTTCCTCCTGAAAATGTAAGCAGTAGTTTTGGTAAAATGGCATTTAAAGATCAGAAGCGTATTGTAAAACATCATAACACTGACTGGCTCTTTGTCCACATGGGTGGGGGTTTCCCAGCCCTGCTGAAGTCAGTGAGCAGCTGTGATATAGACCTAGCAGCTCTGCCGTCCTGTGGGCAGGCTTCCATTGGGTTAGGACCACCTTGTATTACTTTTGGCTTGTCCCAGTTGGTTACTGGGAGCGCTGACCTGTGCTCCCTTGGCCAAAGAAGTTTTGGCTGGCAGTCTGTTACCACCGCTCTGCCAGGTGCGCCCGCTTCTCCCACAGGATCAGCGGAGAGGAGCGTGGGATTCCCCCTTGGGTTTAATTCAGTCCAAAGCTGGATAATTTAAATTAAGCCACCTGTCCCAAACTGGCCTTTGAGGTCCATAATCTCCCCTGCAGAGAGTTATTCCTGCCTGAGCTAGTCCTATCTGGGTGAAAACCAGATCACACCAGGGGCATGGGGTACTTGTTGGAAAAGCCAATACCAGTTGTGTTTGCTCTCATCCGTTATGCATGGGCATGATTGGAGTGAGGAGCAATTCAGCCACCAACGAAGCAGTGGAAACAGAGCCTGACTGACTGGAGAGCTGGGTACCTTCCTACCTAGAAACCTGGGCTTTTGGTGACTTTCAGCAAAGTTCAGTGGAAAGATGCACATGACAGCCTGCTCTTAAGCTGAAGAAGAGTTAGTTCTTGTCCTCTTGAGGGATAGGGGTTGAGGCTTGCCCTGGTAAGTGCTTGTAACATGATCTTTTGGCTTAGTGTTGAAAGTGGGTTGCCCTAGGATGTGCTTTTACGCTTCGGTGTGATGCTGGGAAGGCTCATGATGGAAGGACACTCTCTCCTTACTCTGTTCAGGTCATGGGAAGTTGCAGACTTTTGCCTAGCGCCCCTATTCTGCATTTTTTCTTCCATTCTCTCCAAAGAGTAGCTGCAGAGAAACTATTCTGTAGGTGGAAAAAAAACCTGCATGTGTTTCTTTTCCAATCACTGACCTTGCAGCCTCGCAGAATCCAACCGTGCCGTAGCTGAACCCCCCGAGGGCACCAGGCTGGTGGGCAGGGGGACAGCGGTTTCTGAAGAGCCAGCTCGCCGCCTGGCCCTTCCAGAAAGTGACACACATGAAGAGGTGCCAACACAGGGGAAGGAAGGAGGCTGTAGGTGTTTTATGAAGTGTGGGAAGAAGTGCAGTAGCTACAGATCGAGAAAGTTCACCAGCCCCAGAAGGACGTGCTGTGCCTCAGAGAGGTCCTGAAACATTAATATGCTGATGGAGAGGCATATTTTGTTGCATACTGTGCATGCCTGATGAGTCCACAGCCTGAGATCCTTGTAAATCTTTTACAGCCCGGAATGAGCAAGAGGAGCAGGAGGAAAAACGAGAGATAAAGAGAAGATTAACACGGAAGGTGAGAAGGAACTTTGATCCTATTATGGCACCACTGTAACTTTCTCCCCGCTGCACAGTTGTTTGCCTTTTTCTCTTTCCTCAGCACCATTTTCAAAAGTAGAGTGTGAAACAAGTCTTAAAAGAAAGCTTTAAAAGAAATCACCGATGTTATAGGGTGTAAGTCCACAGACAGTGAAGGGAACCACTTCGCAGGCTATTGCTGGTAACGTTTTCAAACTGGACAAAAGAAGGTCTAGGCTTTGTAACAGAAGGAGCTTTGAACGGCGAAGGATACAGAGCCTTGCATTGGTCTAACCATGCTCCCTGTAAATGTAATGGCTTCTGCAGTAGAGAGAGCAAAGTTACAACAATGCCGATGGCATTTGAAGATTCCAGCTAAAAAAAAACATTAAATTGGGAAATAAACTTTTTCTGGAAAAGGAGGCATTTAAACTAGAGACAAGCACTCGCAAAATGGTGTATAGTGCAAAAACCAATCTTGTATTGGCAGGGAAGGATGAACAAAACAGCATAGTTTGGTTTTGGGTTTCCTTCCGTTTGAAAGTAATCTTTTCTTAAAACTGAAGAACAGACATTTCAGATATACACGCTCCGTTTCGCAGCTGGTGTAAATGTCTACAGATGCCCCAATACACGTAGCAAACAATCCATCCTGTTACTGCAGATAAGCTTTATTTCACCACTGACATATTTCCTATCTCCAGAGGTGGCACAAGCTCCCTAAAAACTCACAATGCTTGCGAAGCAGCACCAACCCCTTCCCGTATGTTTTTAGGTGGCTTAGTCTTTTTGACCTATGTGATCACAAGCTTTGATGGTATAAATAATGACAAAGCAAGGGCTCTAAATATACATGCAAAGGTTACATTCAGAGAGCTGGAATGTTTTATTTTATAGTTAAAAATCTCACGCCTTATTCTCAGCTCATGTAAATTAGCAGAGTTCTCTGTCACCCCCGGGGGGATACTGCTGTTGTCTGCAGAAGCTAAGAATGTGGCCTGGAGAGCTATAATATTTTTTTTTAAACACTTAAATTCCTGATAACAATGGCAGGGATGGGCTCGCATACCCCCGTAGCACTGCCTGAAAGACAAGATCCTGACTGCATTGCGGATGTTTCATGGGACTCAGGCTCTGCGCGAAGGCTAGAAATATCGTTTTACCAGACTTTCGATTTCCCTGTACATTGAAGGGTAAAGAGGAATCCAATGTGAAGCTTCATGCCGTTTGATGAACGGCTGTGATGATAGATGAAAAGCAAAGCTGCCCATACCCAATCTGCTGCCTAAGAAACGGAGGCTTACCAGCCCAGCCAGCATCATCACCGTGAGGTTCCCATCCTCCGCTGTGCTGGAGCAAGGGTACAAAGCACATGAATCGCCTGTTGCAGGCAGAGGCCACAGCTGCTTGCTGAACTAAAACGCCCGGGCTGCTATAGCATCGCAGCGGTGTCTGCTCCCTGAAACCTCCGCAGCCTTCTGTGAGATTTCTGTCTTTCTTTTGGGTGCACTTTGAAGTAGGAACAGTGGCGAGAGCTGTGTCCGTCCCAGCCCCCGGCACCTGGCTCTTTAATGTTCACACCATCATTCCCGGTCGCATTCCTTTTGGCCTGTTTTGGCTTCTTCCCTAGTAAAGATTTTTCTCCCCTACGTTTGTGAGGTTGGTAGCAACGTGACTTAGCAGTGTTTGATTTTGATTATCTTTTTAAATTGGGTTAAATTGTTCTAGTGACACGCTGTAATTTTAATGGAAGGACCACGGGCCTGGTCTAAAAACAACTTTTGTTCTCACCAACAAAACGCACCGTTATAAAAGCTCAGAAATCGCAAGCGGAAAGAAGTAAATAAAGTGTGCAAGTGGATAGATAACAACTAGAAATGCCAACCACCTAGTGAATCCTGCAAAAATTGTTGTTATTCCCCAGCCCTGTATTTCATGAGCGTGTCCCAGATGCATCGTTGTGTCTACAGCAGAGTGGCAGGCTCCTTCTGTCGATTTGTACTGAAGTCTTATTACCAAAGGATTTTAAACCTCAGATCAAGCGGAAGTTTAATTGAGCACGGCAAGTGTTTTGCCCAGCAGACCCTTCTGTTTGTGCTGAGGTTTAACGTGCGCACATGCCTACGGGGTAAATTGAACGTAAGGGAAGGGTGCTGCCTTGCCTCCTTGTAGCCATGTGCAGTTGGTAGCAAGAAGGGAAGGCGGCCCTGCAGAAGCCACTGGAAAGACTTTTGACCTTGCACTATAGAAATTGCTACTGTCCCCGCTTTTCTTGGTGGCCTTATTCCAACTCCAAGGGAACGACCCACTTCATCCATTAAAAAGCGGTTCTTAAAATTCCTTCAGCGCTGACATTTTGTTACAGCGTTATGATGATAAGTTGTAAGATGACATGCTGTAATAAGTAAGATTACCTTGCTAGGTCTAGATGCCTTATTAAAGTCAGCAATAAATATCCAGTTGAATTCATCATCTGGACAGGCAATTTCTAGAAAAAAAAAGTTTTAAAAAAAAAATCAGGTGACCTATAGCGAGGTGTTCCTTTAAGCACTTTTCATCCTCCCAGACTCCTCTAACTCCAAATTAACTGGGAATAGGGGATAGCTGCCATTCAAAGAACAGAAAGGAGGCAAATGCCACTTGGTGCAGTTTCTCTGTAGCTTGTATCTCTCCTGCCCGAGGAAGGAGAGCTGAAGCGTATTTGCCGGTCACCTGAGATGCCCATGGATGGGTTCTGCACGTCCAACCACCCCGTGCTCCCTCTCCCTGCCTCTCAGGGAGCAGCTTGCTTTGAGTGGAGGAATGGGCGGATTAGGAAGGGATTTCTCTGGGCACTGGTCTTGGCCCATGAGCCCATTCCAGGAATATTAACATGCAGGGGCCCTCTGGGAGAAGCGTAGCAGGCGGGTCCCCTCCACGAGGAGATGTGGGGCCCCAGGAATTACTACTAAGAATGTATTCTCTCTGAACTGCAGTGAATTTGGCCGAGCACCAAGGCAATTAACACAAGCTTGAACTCCCCCTGAGGACTTCCATTACAGAGAGAGAGTCATAGCCTGGATTAACACAACATGTTACAAATCACTTGCAAAGAGGAATAAAACTCTTATTTTCCGACCTTCCCTTGTCTGAAATAGCATCATGCTCCCCGTTCCCCAGAGCTGCTTACTGCTTCCTATCCCCCACTGTCAATAGCTAATTTATCCCAGAGGTCTAGCTCCAAAACTAAAAAATCTCATAGTAGTAATAACGTCAACCAAAGTGATGAGGTATGGCTGTTTCTTAAAATCCATGCAATAACCTGAATTCTTTGCTCCCATTAAATTCCTGCCCCGGCACAACTTAAACTCTCTGTTCACTGGAGAGCAAGCTAGTGCCTCATTGGGGAATGTCTTGCTATTCAATCTTTTCTTTAATTGACCTCCACTGGCTTGCATCAGCACAGGCTGTTCAAAATAATGAACTCTTGAGAGAGGTGGGACTCGTCAGAGGGAGGTGAGAGGAAGGCAGGGGGGAAAAAAGGTCAGAGAAGAAAAAAGGTTAGCGGCTCATTTGGATAAACTGCATTTATAGTCAGAGAGAAAGGTCTTCGGGGCATTTTCATCACATCCTGCGCCTGTGTCTTACCACAAAAGGTGGGGAGTAAAGGAGAGAGGGAGTTGTGTGCGCTGCTAGTTAGGATCTGTAATTTTTCACCTTGGTTTCTTCCCTAAATAACAACCATAACATTTTAATGAGGTAGCAAAGCAGGCAACGATGAAGTGACAAGACAACGAGCTTCATTGTGTCTGAAGCAGAGCAAACTCAGCATTTCACATTTGACTGAATCCCAAGACCAGACTGGCAAGAGTACGTCCCGCTCCGCTTTACCTGGTGACGGTGCTTGGGTTGGCTTCATTTCCCATGCCGAGAACAAAGTGGTTTGTGTTAAACCTTCCCTTGCAAATTGGCTTAGTACCAAAGCTTGAAACATGCCCATTTTTATCTCCAGTGATCCGGAATATACAGAGGAAGACTTGACCGACATGGGAGGCCCTGTCCTTGTTTACACTACTTTTGCATTAATACAAATCCATTTACTTCGAAAGGGATTTTTGCCCTCAAAATAATGAGGTCACTCGCCGTAAAGTTGTCCCGCTCCCTCAGCTCACAAGTCTTCACAAGTAGGTAAATAGAAATGTATGTGCCCAGAAAAAGTCCTGACATTCACATGCGCATCGCTCTGACACTAACAGAAGTAGCTAAAAAAGAGTCCAGCTCAGTAAGACCCCTTTCTCCCCACATGGAGCACCACCACCTTGTGCAGGCAATTGCATCGTGTCCTTGAGACCGTGTCCTTTTACTGCGAGTTTCAAACACGCCTTATCTTTCTGCTTGTTAGAAGAACTCTCATTCTCAGGTGTTGCCCAAGAAGGATTGTGTAGCATAAAGCAATTTTGTCCCAAGAGACCCCAGCTCACAGGTCATAAAAATAAACTCCAAGGTGAGATCTCAGGTGAGCTGTGCCCTTATTGTGAACAGAAATTGCACCGACACCTACAGCGGAGCCACTTAAAAGTCTGTTAGCAAAGCTGTTTCCCCAGCTGTTTAAGAGTTAAGGGTGCTCTGGGTAGCCCAGACAGACGTGAGAGGCTCTCATGCTTAGCAGCTCACAAGAAATCTCAGCGATGGCATGAGGGAGAGGCAGGGCAGCTTGTTAATCATTCAAATAATGTAGCTTTAATTAATTGCCTTCAGAAAACGACTAGGTGTGGTTGTCCCTCTCTTTTCATTTAGTATGATCAGGTCAGCACCTTGGTTTAATGTACTGAATATTTTGTGTGTGTGTATTTATATATGTAATTATATGTAGGTTTATGCCTATACATGAACCCTGTGGTATAAGCTGTGGATTTCAGGACTCTCTTTCACAGTCAGAGCACTGGTACGAGATTCAGTGCATCTTCTTTCTGTTCATAGCTCTGCCCCGGGCCTCCTGGGTCTCCTTGAGCCGGTTGCTCAGTCTCTGTGCTTCGCTTGCTCCAGCTGCTCTCTGGGGATGGAGACACTGCCCACCGCTCTGATGGGGCGTATAAGTACCTGAAGTTGCACTGGTCGTAGGTTTCTGAAGCAAAGGCAGGGCATCTAAAAACAACACACGGTGATAGTTGCAGGACTTCAGAGGAAGAGAAGAAACAGCTTTTAGTCTGTCTTACATTCAGGTGTCACCTAAGAATGAAAAATGCACATTAACACCAGAGTTTCGTAATGTGCTTATGCCCTTGACATTTTTTCACGTATAACTCAGTGCGCTGTTCTTCACACCCAAACGAAGGCTTGCAGTGAGTTTCAGAGGTGTAAAATGCGTGGGTGCTGCACCTGATTTCTTTTTTGTGCGTTTGAGAACATGGGAACTTCCTTCAGATTTGTCTCATTTCATCACGTGACCCTTAACATTTACCGTCATTTCTTTGATTTTAACTCACACCTAGTGCACCAAGGAAGCCAGATTACCCGTTTAAAACCCAGTGCAACATTGAGTGAACAGTGAATGGAGTGAAACACCAGCAGTGAATTCCCATTGCTGGCAAAAGTACCTCTGCGGCTTTTGGTGCCCTTGTGCTCTTGACACCACCTAGACATCGGCCCAGCACGGCATGCTTCAGTGTCTCAACAGCCAGCTGCCTTCTCCTTTGACCAGACGTGCTAGTTGCTTAGATGAGCGCAAATGTGAAAGCCGGCTGATGTCAAGAGCTGAGAGAAGCTGCGAAATAGAGCCAGTCATTTTGTGAAAGTCCTCCTCTGGCTTGGAAGCCGTATAGGTGCTCCTGCTTCCCTTGTAGCCATTTAGAAACCCAGAGTTTAATTCAAAGGATTTCGTATTTTGTTGGTGTTGTCACACCCCATGTAATAAGACATTTTATTTTTTAAAAAACTCCATCCTAATTTGAAACAACATCTAGGCTACATCCTAAAATGATAAAAGCTGAGAAATGTACAGATAATATTGGTGATTCATCCTTAATTTGTGCTGCTGTGTGAAAAGAAGCAGTTGATGGAGGTAAAGATGGAGTCTCACCCTTATCTTTGAAATTTTGGGGTGTAGTCATAATATCATTTCAGTCTAAAGACTCTCTATTCCCATAGCCAGGGCTTATATTTTAAATATTTGGAAGCAAAATTCTGCTGTGCTGTCTAAGTAATAATGCCTCAGCGCTAACAAACCTGCAGGTCCTAGCACTAAGGCTGCTAGAAAAACCTCACAATGTGAGATCACATTCAAGGTGAGTTGTAGGACAGCCCGTAACTCTGATTATACTCCAAGCATGGTATAGCAGTTTGGTTTGCTTGCTTTTGTTACAAGCCCATCTATCAATTGCAGTGTGTATTTGGCTTGCAGGTGACTTAGGGGTAGGTATCAGGACTGCAGGCTAAAGAGGCAATTTTGTTCTGCTAGAGTGAAACCCAACATTTTTACATCTATATGCGTTTTCAATCTACTTTATTGTGCCCTCTGGCTTTTCTGATGTGGTACTCTAGCTCACAGATAGGTTTGTCCTGCTGTCTAAAACAAAAAAAAAACCACTGTGCCCACTGTGTATGCATTTTGGTTTTTTAAAAAAGGTCCCCAAAACCTGTAGTCTGAGTTCAGAGAGTCATGCTTCTTGCTAACCTGCATACCTGCTCTTTGGCTGGCCTGAGCACGGCTGGCCTGAACATGGGTACACAAAATGGGGCTTTCCTTGGGAAACTCTTGGAAGAAATAAGAGGAAGCTCATAGATGTTGTGTGACAAACACACAGAGAACCTCACCCCAGGAAACTTCATGCCTCCCATAGAAGAAGGTGGGTGTGAGAAAACTGTCCAGTTTTAAGATCTTTGCAATATTTGGAAGTTTCAGATTTGCTCTTTTTCAAACCAGCAAGGACGTTTTCCCCTATTAAACATTGTAATTTACCCTGAAATGGCTATGAAGACAACACATGAACTGCCAAGCTGTGACTTGACTAGGGATGCCAGCTAAGATGCCAGCTGCCCAAAGCAAGGCCATTACATGGCAGTGTAGAGTTGTGCTCCTGGCTACCCTTCCTTTCTGAGATTTCTCTCCCTTCGGTGTGTGCAAAATGGCTGGGCTGCAGCCAGGAGGGGTAGGACACGATGCCTGTCCCCGAACATCTCACAGGCAGGGCGTCAGTGCAGCTCTGCAGATGCTCTGCATGAGGTGTTTGAACCCAGTTCATGAGTGCATGCTCAGGGCGATCAGTGTAAGGAGAGCAGCCCCTCTGTCACCTCCCGTCACAACCGTCTCTTCTAAAAAGAGAAGAGAGGCAACGATCCATGCCAAGAACAAGCACGCAGGGATTTAAATCCAGAAGCAGGATGGGGCGGTGGAGCTATCTTGCCTCAGCACCCAAATGCTGGAGAAAGGCAGGATTTCCAGCATGTGTTTCTTTTCCTTGTGATCTCACAAATTTTTCATCCTCCACTTAGCATCCTGCCTGTTTTGAACCTTAATTCTCTCTGGAAGATGAAAGGCAGGGAACTGAGGTACTTATTTCAGGAGGAAGGTGGGATTGCATGTCAGGGTCCAGGAGCCTAAATACCTTTGCAGAACAGAGTCTCAAGCATTTTATGCAATATTTAGCCCTTTCACTATTCACAGGGGTGAAGTATTGCAAAACACACCTATTTCTAGTGAGTGGGAATAGCAGGGTACTCCGTCTAGCAGGATATTATTTTTTCTGATGTATCATGTTGACAAATGTTTCACTCCAATAGTGAAACCTCTGCAGCTAGTGTACAGGCACGTGCATACATGTACGTAGCACCTTCTTTAAGAAACAGTCGTGCAACTGCTTTTGGCGTTAGCCAACGTGCTGTGCGTCCGAGGAGAATTGACCACTGAAAGCCAATTCCTGTCCCTAGCCATGGAAGTGGCTGTACGATACGTGGACTGCCAGCACACTACTGTTTCTAATTTGAGAGGAGAGTTTTGACTGTGGCTGCCTATTCTGCTGTGGAATTTGAAAGAAATGCTTTGGAACAATGAAGATGCTTTCTTGACGTGATACAATCCACCCTTGCAATTTTTTTTCTTGGCTTGTAGTATGCTCTGTAAACTCTTAGAAGTCAAATATGCTGTGACACAAAATTCAGCTGCAGCATACAGTGAAAAGTTCAATGAGCAATAGTCATCATCAGCCTGCCTGCCTTTTCTGGCGGTAAGGACAAGTCTGCAGAATATCAGAATGGTAAGGAAAGTCATTTGTCACTTTTTGCACATAATCCAAGGCAGAATCCGATCGGTGCCTTTGCCTGACTCTTCTCAGGCTGGGGAGTGTATAGCCTGTGCAGGTAGTTTTAAAGCTGTGTTGTGGTCTTCGTCTCTTCCTGAGACATTGGTGCAGTAGGAGACTTTCTTGCATTGCATCTCATTTCTGCCAGGGGTCACCAACCTCAGCCTGGGATTGGGGTCTCCAGCCGCAGCTGCTTCCCAAGTAACAGCGTGGTGGGATGATATTCAAGGTGCTATAACAAGAGGTTATCTCCCAAGTAGCAATTCTGTGAAAGGTTGATAAAACCAATGGTATTGGGAATGTCGGAACCCTCATTGTCATAATGATGGTTGTAGTAAAATAAATCAGCAAGCAGCGCTCTGCAAGGAAAAAGTGAAGTCCTGATGATTTTTTCTACACCTTCCTCAAACCTGCAGCTGAGTCAAAGGCCCACGGTAGAAGAGCTACGTGAGAGGAAGATCCTCATCCGCTTCAGTGACTACGTGGAAGTGGCAGACGCGCAGGACTACGACAGGAGGGCGGACAAACCCTGGACACGACTCACAGCCGCCGACAAAGTAAGTGGAGCAGCTTCAGGAGAGGCATGAGCTGAATAGGGAGAGCATGCCACAGCAAACAGCATCCCTCAGGTCCCACAGGTCGTGGTCCACCTGAGTTCCCTTCCCAGCATACCTGTGTTTTATTCCTATTCACAAGGTTTGTTGTTTGAGTCTTAAATCAGGCTCTTACATGTGTGGAAACCAGGGAGCAAGCCTAGCAGCATTATACCACTTAGAGAGGGGAGAATATCAAGCCCTTTGAGGAAAGGTCTCGAACCCTGTTATTATTTTTGTTGGTTTTGGCCTTCCCACACAATGCTGCCAGCTGGGAGCTCCTGCAAGACCTCACAGAGCAGCGTGACAGCAGCACTTGCCAGAATTGCTATGCCAGGACAGAGCAGGCCTGAGCGCAAAAATGGCAGCAAGTCAAATAATTGGCAAAAGCACCTCCTGCCAAAGCCAGGAAACTTCTGTCTAGTGCATTACGACAGGGGTGGTTTTACTCAGGATTTCTGCCCCATTCCACAGAGTATTTTAAGCACTAAACTGCAATCGCATGCAGATGAAGAAAAGCTGTGTATTTGGTATCGAGTGCACTGTCCTCGGAGCACCAGCAGGACCTTCGTTAAGTCTCTGGTGGCAGCGTAATTAAATTGCTGTCAAATTATAACAGTCATATCCTGAGGGTCTTAATGGTGCCTCAGGAAGAAGACTTAAACGTTTTATGGCCACTGTAAGAGAAGAGGACTATGAGGCTGATCAGTGATTCCCATGCTTTAGTCACTCTGTGATGCCCATGTAATGGTAAAGACTTTCAGGTACCCGATTGTTTCTTTGTGGGGCTCATGCAGCGATGGAGACCATGATGTCCAATGTTTAGAGACAGGAGTAGGATTCCTGGCCATGGCACTCACTTATGGTGCTCTTGGTTTTATTCACAGAGGAAAGGGCAGCCCGTCCTACTTGTGTAATTTAACCAAAGGACTTCTATAGTTTTGTGACCACTGTTTTTCTCCTTGACAGAGGGCTTTTTCAGTTTAGCTTTGGATACATTAACGAAGCATAAACTGATCTGAAAAAAAGAAAAACTTACTCTGGACTGTCCACAGACCATAATATACTGGGTGAAATTAGCTCTTCCTGGTTTACCTCACCATGTTGGGCAAGGTCTTATTCAACTGGCTTGGTTATATTCTCCCAATTGGTAGATGAGGGAGGGAATAAATCTCCAACAGGTTCTGCAGCCTTTGAGAGATCCCTGTCTGGGATGAAAGGTGTGGAGAGACTTCAGCTGGGAAAGGAGAAGATTTGGTGTCCAGAGAGGTCCTTCCTCATCCTGTGCCTGTGAAAAGAACAAGTATTAAATGTAGCCTGGTAAAGAATTCAGTATTAAGGCAAAGTACTCTGAGATCACTTTGTCTTATTTATAATGCATGTGCACGGTCAATACACAGAGCAAAGGGCTTGAGTTCTTTTCTAAGCAAAGCAGGAGAAGAAGAAACATTTGTCGTTCTAATGTTAATGCCCCTTACGGCATAAGGAAGCAGATATATTATTTTGGGGGGTTGCGTCATATGGGTGGTGTTCTGATTTCTGCCATCCAGGTGACCTGCTTTTCCCTACTGGGACACTGTCCACTGTTGGAAAAGATAGCCAGACAAATTGGAAGCAACTCTAAAATGTCTGACAAAGCTGCAACGTCCTATAAAAAATTATTTTCTTCCAGAGCTTTGATTCAATAACCATCTTGATTGGGCAGCACAGGCTAGATTTATTGCAAAAATAGATTTTAGCAATGGACTTCTCTGTCAGTAAATCTTGCTCTGTGTGCTGGATGTAGGGAACTGCCTTCAGTCTGACTTCATCTTTACCAGATCTGACTGTCACAGGAATAAAAAGGGCACTTTTAAAGCTCTCCAGCAGATGAGGGATGCAGGAGGGAATAGATTTCAGCCCTTGTGGGAGTCAGCAGCCTGGGTGGCCTCCTTCACAGTCGCTTAAGCAGCAAATTGGTCTGCTGAAGGTAGGCCCTCGAGTTGCTGCATAGCCATCGCTCTGTCCTGACAGATGGAGGCAGAGCCTGACAGACATTTCTAAGGTAAATAAAAAAACAAAGCTGTGCAGGAAGACCACAAGGGGCCATTTCAGTAGATCACGCTCGCAAAATCTATCACTTGGGGCTTGTCAAGGCAAAGGTGACTGGATCAGTGGCTGTTGCAAAAGCCCCGTTTCGGGCTCGTGCTGTTTGTAGTAGTTATGATTTCCTTCATCGAGAAAAATTCCCGTGCCACCGACTGGAGCAGCCACTTGCAGCGGCTGATGCTGATTTCAGCATCACACGGCAGGGTAGTGGCATGCACCTTGCACCCCTGGGAGCGCTGGGCTGCAGCAGCCACCTCGCACATCCTCTCCGTACGCCCACAGTGAAACCCTCTCGTGAGCTACAAATATCACGGAGCTGTCAGAAGTCTTTGGCTTTGGGGCTTGGGACTGGAGCCGGTTCTGCTGAGAACCCTCTCCAACACGAAGCTGAGTCCCTCCAAGTCACCCCTTCTTTTTTTTTGTTATTCTTCAATATTTCCCACCCTGCTAGTCACCCCTGGTTTTCTTCTCCCTCGTGGACAAACCGCAGAGACTGTAGGCACCCGGGTCTCCGGCAGCAGCTGAATACGACCGCCTGTGGCTGGCGTTCTGCTGGATCAGTGCATGGGATCGGCTCAGTAAATGGCACAGCTGGGTCAGACGGGAGGAGGTGGGCAGAGGGGCACAGCCCGAGGCAGAGCGGAGGGCAGGGAGCCAGGCACCCCTCTTGCCCGCCCAAGTAAGCTCAGCCACTTTAGGCAACTGCACCCGAGGAAATTCAGGACCACATAAAGGCAGGAGACATCTCAAATATTTGAGTCTGGCAGGATCCAGGCCCAGCTTACTCACAATCCAGCTCCGAAACAGAGCACGGGATTTGAGAAACTCTGGTGCACATTTTCTTCCTCATGCTTATGCTAATTTGGATTTTGTACATGAAAGTGTTTACATAATAAGCCAGAACTGGGTTCGGTATCTGCATTGTCTATCATATGTTTTCAAATTGAGCCCTTCCACCGAAGCGTTCATCTCTTCTCTTTATGTGATTTAAAAACGTTTATCTCTGTTCCTTTTCACATTTTAAAGCCTTTTGTGTGTTTTTCTTTCTGATAATGTTATCTATCATCTGCTTCACTTTTAATACAGTTTTGAGAACAAAGTGAACTTACTTTCATCTCTCTCATTTATACATTTATGAGCTTATTTGTCCTTTGCAGGCAGCCATTCGAAAAGAGCTTAATGAATTTAAAAGCACTGAAATGGAAGTTCATGAATTAAGTAGGCATCTAACAAGGTAAGCTGAGATTAATTTTTTAAGACTATCAATGAATACTGTTGTTTTAAAAAAAAAAAAAAAACCCAGCAGCTATTTCTCCAACACCCACTGAACACACCACGAGGTCTGAACAACATTTAGCATTACAGACTGTAAAAGAAACTCACACAGACCAACCTCACGCTGCCTCATTACGTGGCAGTACCCAGGCACGTGCCATCTGTTTACCAAACTGTAACCTTTTATTTCTTTACATCACCATGCTCTAGCCACATGGCTGCCCTTCTGACACCGAAAGTAAATAGCGTTGGTGTCTGAAGGAGGACAGGGCACTCGTGCAGAGCCAGCACGTAGCAAGGTCTAGACGAGCGTACACTCGAGCCCCGCTGAGCGTGCGGCTGTTCCACGCGATGCACGCCCCACGCACACATCTCTCCGTCCTGCCCTCCACAGGCAATGTCATGGGGAAATAGCGAGATCAGCATTGTAAGGGAGGCTCTTTTTTTAATGCTTTTAGGCTTTTTTTTTTTTTTTTTAGTTAAAAAGGAAGAGACTGAATGAATTATCCATGACCCCCAAACTACCAACCCTCCTCTCTGACAGGGTACGGCCGAGGCACGCTGGGAGGTCAGCGCACGGCCCCTCACACAGCCTGTGCTGAGTCTGCCTTGGCTTTGATGCTGAACTTTGGGCATTTCAGCTAAGTCAGGCCTTTGCAAATCAACATTAACCCCACGCACACACTCATTCTTAGATGTTACAGACAAGTGTTAGGTATTGAAGACAAGTGAGCGTGAGATCTGGTACAAAATTGGAGCTGCCCTCGTATTAATATAGTCATCAGCTAGGTGCTCATAAAAAATGCAGTTAATACTTTTAAGCAAAATACAGAAAAGCTCAAGGCAAAATTAATTTTGTATTAGGGGATTTTTAGGTGTATAAATTAATGATCATATTAAAATTCACCACATGTATTATGCATATATTCCCTTGAAGAAGCAATCTCCCTTTTACTTCCTAGCGTGTGCTAGGATGGTTGCAGTGGGGTTTGTCGTAACGGAGCGCTACTAGAGCTGAGCCAGCTGCCTTTGAGCCACGAGGTCTGGAAGAAGCTTTAGGGTGTGCAGTTGGCCTAGATCTGTTGACCCCGGTGACTGAGCCTTTCAGGGACATCTGGCTCACTCCTCCAGGAGAGCAGTGACAAATTTAGAAAGGCTGAGGCTGTTTTAAAAGGGGTGTTGCTACCAGGAGTTGAGCTGCACTGAGAGCTCCGTTGATTTCCATGAGGCCTTTAGCATCCTACAAACATTGAGACTGGTTTCATTTTCCAGAAGTCTCTCCAGCTGCTTGGCTTTCGTGGGTTTCTGGGCAGTATTTTGCTCCTCTTCCCCTGTTGGGGTGAGCAGGGACCCTCTGAGGTGACTCAGTTTGTTTTTCAAAGCCACCGAGTGGCTTTGACTCACTAACTCTGGGCCAGGCGTACTCAGAGGTACAGCTAATATAACAGAAACGGGAATAAGGCTCTGTCTGAGGTTCAGGAGGACTTAGTGGTTCGCCAAGTGGCTTCAGGAAATACGCACTTGAAGGAAGCGCGCTTAAACAAAATAGAGTCATTCCCTTAAACAAACTTAGATAAATCACCATTATAAAATCATTAGCAAGGTAATGAGCTATTCATGTCATTAAGCAGTGGCATGAGCCGAGCAAAGAATGTAAGTGTTGCTTTACTAGTGGGACATATTAATTAATTCATGATAGAGTGAAAAAAATCAAAGCTTTAAAAAAAACCCAACCTTCGCAGAGCTGACAAAACCAGGCCTCCTGACACAGGGTGTACTTGCAGAAGGGGGGGGGGCCATTTTAGCTCTACTTGTGTCTTTGGCCTCATACATTAAGCAATAACCATACTTGAACTGTAGGTAAATCTTTCTGGCTGAAGAGCATAAAATTTGTCTAAACCAGGCATTTTTTGTGGAATTGGGCATGGTGTGGTCTGAAAGAGGACCGGCTGATCTGAAATAACTTGCTCAGGGATCTGATAGGATGGGCCCAAAGTGGATTAGTGGCTTTGATAGAATTTTTTTTCTTTTTTTGGTGCAAATAGCACATGCCTATGAATTTTGAGGCCGTCGAGGGCCAAGGAAGTGCGTCTGTCTGTTCTGGGTCCACAGTGCCAGGGTGGCTGATGTCAGTGCTGCAGGAATCGAGCTGCCTAATTGTGTCACTGTAGCAATTAGTTCTCCAGTTTCTCTGTGTACAATATGCGTGTGAGGATGGTATCTTACTTTTTCTCCTCTTTTCTTCTCCCCCCGCCTTGGGTTTTAGGTTTCATAGACCGTAGCAGTTCAATTCTACCTGACTACTATGCCGTCTTCAAAACATAACTAAAAGGAACCATAAGTGCTGGTATTATTCACTTCCCTGTTACGTACAATGTAAATCTTCTGAACTGCCTTTTTAAAAAAAAAAAAAAAAAAGTAGAAAAATAAATATTTAAGAAAAGGAAAATTGTATTTACATGTGATGGGTACTGCAGCATCATCAGACCTGCTGGTTCAAGCTTCAATAACAGAAAATACCCCTGGTGGGAATCGTGCCAAGACTTGGCATCTATGTATAAGACTTTCCTGGCATGTGGATTTGCCATACATGTTCAAGCCCAGCTGGTGGGGCATCCATTTTGTCTTCAGGCACCCTTCATCCTGACAAGCCTCTGTCATCAACTCAAAAAGCCCTGAGATGGTGTTCAGGGAATCACTGGCCTGGGTGAAGTCTCCAAAAAAAAGACTGAAGCACTTACACCAAACACTCCTTTCAGGCTGCGAGCACCTTATGAGGACAGTGAAGGAGCAAAACTCCTCAATGGGCCAGCCCATCTGTGAGTATCACCTGACTAGCAAGGCATTTCTTTCCCTGGAGAAGCTTATGGCCATTTCGACTCCCAAGCAGAAAAAGGCATAACCCGCAAAGAACGGGACTCCCTACTGAAGGCTGGTTCAGTTCTAGCAACTGTTTATTTTTCATCTCTTTCAAGCATAATTTTCTAAACCCAGTTGCGCACCCATCAGCAGCAAGCAACAAGAACACTGGGAACAAGCAAGCAAAACCCATCTCTTCATGGTCATTGCATGGCATTCACTCAGCTTGTAGTTTGTTTTTCCACCCAAGCCCCATGATCGTGTGAGAGCCAACACGCCGCCTGGCAGGGAGAAAGGCTGGGATTCCCACCCGCTCCGCAGAGGGACACACAGCAGGAGGAACTGGGGGTTCGATGAGGGATATCTATCCTCCCTGTATCAGGTGTTTCGAGAACTGATCCTAAACTCATACTGAGAAAAGCATGACAGCTTGTGTTACGCAGCCTAGCACGAGGAGTCTGGTGCATTGGTGAGACTTGTCACCAGTACCCACAGCTGAGGCGTAAGGGTGGCAATCCAGGGGTGGTCTCTTTTGGTTTTAATTTATTTTTACTGTAGTGGTTTAACACACAAACTGACCAAGCAGAGCTCAGAGAGCTGGTCGCTCTGGGCCTGGTTTACCTGCCAACTTAAGCGTGCGCTTAACACTAAGTAAGCATGCAAACAGCCTCACTGCATTCAAGAACAAGCTTAACTGAAGCTGAATACATATAAGTGCTTTCCTGATCTTTGGCCAGCACCTCCCAGAATCAAGTCCTTAACTAGCATTAACGCCAGCAAGCTGGGGCAAACATTGTCTAGGATTCCTTTCCAGCTCTAGCAAGAAACTATTATGCCATGTTTTGGGCCACTGGCCCAAAGCACTGTAGCAACATTACTGTAAGAAGTTCCAGATTATTACTTCAGGACACCTTTTTTCTTCCACAATAGCTATTTTGCTTTGACAGATTGAACAGAGAGGCCAAAGTTTTTTTTTACTACAGTGTTGTTATTTCTGTTATTATTTTATTAGTTTTTCCTTTCTTGCTGTCTTCCATGTATCTATCCACTCTTCTGTGCTGCCTCTCTACCTCCCCCGATGCCATGCTAACATTGCCCGTTACTGATTGCAGGCCGAGCGGCCTCTCGCACGTGAGCATTTAATGGCCAATGCTGCATAGTGCCAACACTCCTGCCTCGTCTCAGGCCTCCGTCTCATTCCTCTGGTTGCAGGAGTAAAGCAAAAGGACCGTGGGGTTGTTCTAGCATCCAGCCTGCCAAACGACGCCGGCAGTGAGGCTAACGCACCCCATTTACGCTTAGCGGTGGTACTCAATACCTCACAGGTTTGCTCTCCGTCAGAGACAAGCGAAAGCGTTCCGTTCTCATCTGCGGCCGTCCTTGCCGTGCTACGGATTATTAGCTATTAAATAAGAATTGGCTGTTCTATGATGAAAGATGCTACAAAGGAAAGTAAAAACCAGCTGGTTTCTGGCGCCTCGTTTTTGGGGCAGCGTGCCTCTGATGCGATACGCTTCCCAGACCGGGTAATGATTTCCGAAGAAACGCACGCAGTGATCCCCGTATCACCAGCTCACAGTCGCTTTAGATACAAGTTCATCAGTAGCGGAAGCCTTTAATGTGCAACGTTATCAGCTCAGCGCAGCAAGGACAGAGCACTTGCCTGCTAGCCAGGAATGCACTGCTTTGGGGTTACTTTCACGAAAACCTGGGCTTCGCGGTTTAAAATTCATTCACATGCACACATAACAAGACTGCATCACAGCTTTAAAAAGGGAAAACAAAACCCTAGGCTTTTGACTACACACACACTGCATTAGGAAAGGGCTCTGCAGCATACCTGTTTTGAAGAGCAACAGGCCCTCCTGGTCCCAGTATGGATCCCACACCTGCCCTGGCATCCTTAGCTTAGAGGTTCAGTGTGAAAGGGAAGGCAGCCATTTAAGGAGCAGTGGTGGCAGAAATCACAGGGCTCAGGCTGGCAGGAGGAAAAGGTGAGATTATATTTTTCTTTTTTCATTTTATGATTGAAATGAAGAGGAAAGAGGAGGAAGTAGCAGACTGCTGTTGTCAGTCTGTCGTCAGTGCTAGAGTCCTCAGGGGA